GGTCTTGAAGTGGGTGGAGTGTGCTAGAGGGTCTTGAAGTGGGTGGAGTGTGCTAGAGGGTCTTGAAGTGGGTGGAGTGTGCTAGAGGGTCTTGAAGTGGGTGGAGTGTGCTAGAGGGTCTTGAAGTGGGTGGAGTGTGCTAGAGGGTCTTGAAGTGGGTGGAGTGTGCTAGAGGGTCTTGAAGTGGGTGGAGTGTGCTAGAGGGTCTTGAAGTGGGTGGAGTGTGCTAGAGGGTCTTGAAGTGGGTGGAGTGTGCTAGAGGGTCTTGAAGTGGGTGGAGTGTGCTAGAGGGTCTTGAAGTGGGTGGAGTGTGCTAGAGGGTCTTGAAGTGGGTGGAGTGTGCTAGAGGGTCTTGAAGTGGGTGGAGTGTGCTAGAGGGTCTTGAAGTGGGTGGAGTGTGCTAGAGGGTCTTGAAGTGGGTGGAGTGTGCTAGAGGGTCTTGAAGTGGGTGGAGTGTGCTAGAGGGTCTTGAAGTGGGTGGAGTGTGCTAGAGGGTCTTGAAGTGGGTGGAGTGTGCTAGAGGGTCTTGAAGTGGGTGGAGTGTGCTAGAGGGTCTTGAAGTGGGTGGAGTGTGCTAGAGGGTCTTGAAGTGGGTGGAGTGTGCTAGAGGGTCTTGAAGTGGGTGGAGTGTGCTAGAGGGTCTTGAAGTGGGTGGAGTGTGCTAGAGGGTCTTGAAGTGGGTGGAGTGTGCTAGAGGGTCTTGAAGTGGGTGGAGTGTGCTAGAGGGTCTTGAAGTGGGTGGAGTGTGCTAGAGGGTCTTGAAGTGGGTGGAGTGTGCTAGAGGGTCTTGAAGTGGGTGGAGTGTGCTAGAGGGTCTTGAAGTGGGTGGAGTGTGCTAGAGGGTCTTGAAGTGGGTGGAGTGTGCTAGAGGGTCTTGAAGTGGGTGGAGTGTGCTAGAGGGTCTTGAAGTGGGTGGAGTGTGCTAGAGGGTCTTGAAGTGGGTGGAGTGTGCTAGAGGGTCTTGAAGTGGGTGGAGTGTGCTAGAGGGTCTTGAAGTGGGTGGAGTGTGCTAGAGGGTCTTGAAGTGGGTGGAGTGTGCTAGAGGGTCTTGAAGTGGGTGGAGTGTGCTAGAGGGTCTTGAAGTGGGTGGAGTGTGCTAGAGGGTCTTGAAGTGGGTGGAGTGTGCTAGAGGGTCTTGAAGTGGGTGGAGTGTGCTAGAGGGTCTTGAAGTGGGTGGAGTGTGCTAGAGGGTCTTGAAGTGGGTGGAGTGTGCTAGAGGGTCTTGAAGTGGGTGGAGTGTGCTAGAGGGTCTTGAAGTGGGTGGAGTGTGCTAGAGGGTCTTGAAGTGGGTGGAGTGTGCTAGAGGGTCTTGAAGTGGGTGGAGTGTGCTAGAGGGTCTTGAAGTGGGTGGAGTGTGCTAGAGGGTCTTGAAGTGGGTGGAGTGTGCTAGAGGGTCTTGAAGTGGGTGGAGTGTGCTAGAGGGTCTTGAAGTGGGTGGAGTGTGCTAGAGGGTCTTGAAGTGGGTGGAGTGTGCTAGAGGGTCTTGAAGTGGGTGGAGTGTGCTAGAGGGTCTTGAAGTGGGTGGAGTGTGCTAGAGGGTCTTGAAGTGGGTGGAGTGTGCTAGAGGGTCTTGAAGTGGGTGGAGTGTGCTAGAGGGTCTTGAAGTGGGTGGAGTGTGCTAGAGGGTCTTGAAGTGGGTGGAGTGTGCTAGAGGGTCTTGAAGTGGGTGGAGTGTGCTAGAGGGTCTTGAAGTGGGTGGAGTGTGCTAGAGGGTCTTGAAGTGGGTGGAGTGTGCTAGAGGGTCTTGAAGTGGGTGGAGTGTGCTAGAGGGTCTTGAAGTGGGTGGAGTGTGCTAGAGGGTCTTGAAGTGGGTGGAGTGTGCTAGAGGGTCTTGAAGTGGGTGGAGTGTGCTAGAGGGTCTTGAAGTGGGTGGAGTGTGCTAGAGGGTCTTGAAGTGGGTGGAGTGTGCTAGAGGGTCTTGAAGTGGGTGGAGTGTGCTAGAGGGTCTTGAAGTGGGTGGAGTGTGCTAGAGGGTCTTGAAGTGGGTGGAGTGTGCTAGAGGGTCTTGAAGTGGGTGGAGTGTGCTAGAGGGTCTTGAAGTGGGTGGAGTGTGCTAGAGGGTCTTGAAGTGGGTGGAGTGTGCTAGAGGGTCTTGAAGTGGGTGGAGTGTGCTAGAGGGTCTTGAAGTGGGTGGAGTGTGCTAGAGGGTCTTGAAGTGGGTGGAGTGTGCTAGAGGGTCTTGAAGTGGGTGGAGTGTGCTAGAGGGTCTTGAAGTGGGTGGAGTGTGCTAGAGGGTCTTGAAGTGGGTGGAGTGTGCTAGAGGGTCTTGAAGTGGGTGGAGTGTGCTAGAGGGTCTTGAAGTGGGTGGAGTGTGCTAGAGGGTCTTGAAGTGGGTGGAGTGTGCTAGAGGGTCTTGAAGTGGGTGGAGTGTGCTAGAGGGTCTTGAAGTGGGTGGAGTGTGCTAGAGGGTCTTGAAGTGGGTGGAGTGTGCTAGAGGGTCTTGAAGTGGGTGGAGTGTGCTAGAGGGTCTTGAAGTGGGTGGAGTGTGCTAGAGGGTCTTGAAGTGGGTGGAGTGTGCTAGAGGGTCTTGAAGTGGGTGGAGTGTGCTAGAGGGTCTTGAAGTGGGTGGAGTGTGCTAGAGGGTCTTGAAGTGGGTGGAGTGTGCTAGAGGGTCTTGAAGTGGGTGGAGTGTGCTAGAGGGTCTTGAAGTGGGTGGAGTGTGCTAGAGGGTCTTGAAGTGGGTGGAGTGTGCTAGAGGGTCTTGAAGTGGGTGGAGTGTGCTAGAGGGTCTTGAAGTGGGTGGAGTGTGCTAGAGGGTCTTGAAGTGGGTGGAGTGTGCTAGAGGGTCTTGAAGTGGGTGGAGTGTGCTAGAGGGTCTTGAAGTGGGTGGAGTGTGCTAGAGGGTCTTGAAGTGGGTGGAGTGTGCTAGAGGGTCTTGAAGTGGGTGGAGTGTGCTAGAGGGTCTTGAAGTGGGTGGAGTGTGCTAGAGGGTCTTGAAGTGGGTGGAGTGTGCTAGAGGGTCTTGAAGTGGGTGGAGTGTGCTAGAGGGTCTTGAAGTGGGTGGAGTGTGCTAGAGGGTCTTGAAGTGGGTGGAGTGTGCTAGAGGGTCTTGAAGTGGGTGGAGTGTGCTAGAGGGTCTTGAAGTGGGTGGAGTGTGCTAGAGGGTCTTGAAGTGGGTGGAGTGTGCTAGAGGGTCTTGAAGTGGGTGGAGTGTGCTAGAGGGTCTTGAAGTGGGTGGAGTGTGCTAGAGGGTCTTGAAGTGGGTGGAGTGTGCTAGAGGGTCTTGAAGTGGGTGGAGTGTGCTAGAGGGTCTTGAAGTGGGTGGAGTGTGCTAGAGGGTCTTGAAGTGGGTGGAGTGTGCTAGAGGGTCTTGAAGTGGGTGGAGTGTGCTAGAGGGTCTTGAAGTGGGTGGAGTGTGCTAGAGGGTCTTGAAGTGGGTGGAGTGTGCTAGAGGGTCTTGAAGTGGGTGGAGTGTGCTAGAGGGTCTTGAAGTGGGTGGAGTGTGCTAGAGGGTCTTGAAGTGGGTGGAGTGTGCTAGAGGGTCTTGAAGTGGGTGGAGTGTGCTAGAGGGTCTTGAAGTGGGTGGAGTGTGCTAGAGGGTCTTGAAGTGGGTGGAGTGTGCTAGAGGGTCTTGAAGTGGGTGGAGTGTGCTAGAGGGTCTTGAAGTGGGTGGAGTGTGCTAGAGGGTCTTGAAGTGGGTGGAGTGTGCTAGAGGGTCTTGAAGTGGGTGGAGTGTGCTAGAGGGTCTTGAAGTGGGTGGAGTGTGCTAGAGGGTCTTGAAGTGGGTGGAGTGTGCTAGAGGGTCTTGAAGTGGGTGGAGTGTGCTAGAGGGTCTTGAAGTGGGTGGAGTGTGCTAGAGGGTCTTGAAGTGGGTGGAGTGTGCTAGAGGGTCTTGAAGTGGGTGGAGTGTGCTAGAGGGTCTTGAAGTGGGTGGAGTGTGCTAGAGGGTCTTGAAGTGGGTGGAGTGTGCTAGAGGGTCTTGAAGTGGGTGGAGTGTGCTAGAGGGTCTTGAAGTGGGTGGAGTGTGCTAGAGGGTCTTGAAGTGGGTGGAGTGTGCTAGAGGGTCTTGAAGTGGGTGGAGTGTGCTAGAGGGTCTTGAAGTGGGTGGAGTGTGCTAGAGGGTCTTGAAGTGGGTGGAGTGTGCTAGAGGGTCTTGAAGTGGGTGGAGTGTGCTAGAGGGTCTTGAAGTGGGTGGAGTGTGCTAGAGGGTCTTGAAGTGGGTGGAGTGTGCTAGAGGGTCTTGAAGTGGGTGGAGTGTGCTAGAGGGTCTTGAAGTGGGTGGAGTGTGCTAGAGGGTCTTGAAGTGGGTGGAGTGTGCTAGAGGGTCTTGAAGTGGGTGGAGTGTGCTAGAGGGTCTTGAAGTGGGTGGAGTGTGCTAGAGGGTCTTGAAGTGGGTGGAGTGTGCTAGAGGGTCTTGAAGTGGGTGGAGTGTGCTAGAGGGTCTTGAAGTGGGTGGAGTGTGCTAGAGGGTCTTGAAGTGGGTGGAGTGTGCTAGAGGGTCTTGAAGTGGGTGGAGTGTGCTAGAGGGTCTTGAAGTGGGTGGAGTGTGCTAGAGGGTCTTGAAGTGGGTGGAGTGTGCTAGAGGGTCTTGAAGTGGGTGGAGTGTGCTAGAGGGTCTTGAAGTGGGTGGAGTGTGCTAGAGGGTCTTGAAGTGGGTGGAGTGTGCTAGAGGGTCTTGAAGTGGGTGGAGTGTGCTAGAGGGTCTTGAAGTGGGTGGAGTGTGCTAGAGGGTCTTGAAGTGGGTGGAGTGTGCTAGAGGGTCTTGAAGTGGGTGGAGTGTGCTAGAGGGTCTTGAAGTGGGTGGAGTGTGCTAGAGGGTCTTGAAGTGGGTGGAGTGTGCTAGAGGGTCTTGAAGTGGGTGGAGTGTGCTAGAGGGTCTTGAAGTGGGTGGAGTGTGCTAGAGGGTCTTGAAGTGGGTGGAGTGTGCTAGAGGGTCTTGAAGTGGGTGGAGTGTGCTAGAGGGTCTTGAAGTGGGTGGAGTGTGCTAGAGGGTCTTGAAGTGGGTGGAGTGTGCTAGAGGGTCTTGAAGTGGGTGGAGTGTGCTAGAGGGTCTTGAAGTGGGTGGAGTGTGCTAGAGGGTCTTGAAGTGGGTGGAGTGTGCTAGAGGGTCTTGAAGTGGGTGGAGTGTGCTAGAGGGTCTTGAAGTGGGTGGAGTGTGCTAGAGGGTCTTGAAGTGGGTGGAGTGTGCTAGAGGGTCTTGAAGTGGGTGGAGTGTGCTAGAGGGTCTTGAAGTGGGTGGAGTGTGCTAGAGGGTCTTGAAGTGGGTGGAGTGTGCTAGAGGGTCTTGAAGTGGGTGGAGTGTGCTAGAGGGTCTTGAAGTGGGTGGAGTGTGCTAGAGGGTCTTGAAGTGGGTGGAGTGTGCTAGAGGGTCTTGAAGTGGGTGGAGTGTGCTAGAGGGTCTTGAAGTGGGTGGAGTGTGCTAGAGGGTCTTGAAGTGGGTGGAGTGTGCTAGAGGGTCTTGAAGTGGGTGGAGTGTGCTAGAGGGTCTTGAAGTGGGTGGAGTGTGCTAGAGGGTCTTGAAGTGGGTGGAGTGTGCTAGAGGGTCTTGAAGTGGGTGGAGTGTGCTAGAGGGTCTTGAAGTGGGTGGAGTGTGCTAGAGGGTCTTGAAGTGGGTGGAGTGTGCTAGAGGGTCTTGAAGTGGGTGGAGTGTGCTAGAGGGTCTTGAAGTGGGTGGAGTGTGCTAGAGGGTCTTGAAGTGGGTGGAGTGTGCTAGAGGGTCTTGAAGTGGGTGGAGTGTGCTAGAGGGTCTTGAAGTGGGTGGAGTGTGCTAGAGGGTCTTGAAGTGGGTGGAGTGTGCTAGAGGGTCTTGAAGTGGGTGGAGTGTGCTAGAGGGTCTTGAAGTGGGTGGAGTGTGCTAGAGGGTCTTGAAGTGGGTGGAGTGTGCTAGAGGGTCTTGAAGTGGGTGGAGTGTGAGTGGCCCTCTGCCAGGTCTTGATTCATCCGATCTCCCTGCTTCGTGCATGGGCACACCACTCAGCCGATGTCCTGCTTTCTTCCTCGTTCTTATGCCCTTTCTCCCTTCCTCCCTCCCTCCCTCCCTCCCTCCCTCCCTCCCTCCCTCCCTCCCTCCCTCCCTCCCTCCCTCCCTCCCTCCCTCCCTCCCCCACCAGTTCGCGCTATCTGCTGAACGTGACGGCAATCCGCCTGGGGGGGACGGAGGTGAATGGCACGCAGGGCATAGGGAGCATGGTCAACTCGTCCTTCGGGGGCTTCTCTCTCGACACAGCACGCGACTTCATCTCCCTGCGCCGCACCGTCTATGAAAACCTCGTCACTGCCGTGCGTCGCTCGTGATCTTTGAGAGTTCTGATAAATGACCCCCTTTTTTCTTTTTCTTTTTCCTCCCAGTCAGTTCGTATCGCCATGATTCCTTATCTCTAGTCAGTTCTTCTCACGGCTGGTCTGGTGAACAAGCTCGCGCGTACCATGGAGTTGAGTGTCATATGCATTCTCATTCTTGATTGCTTAAGGTCGCAGGCATTCTCATTCGCATTCTCATTGCTTCAGTTCTGTTGTTGCAGTGATTCTGTGATATACCGTGGTATATTCTTATTGCTTTCATGCTGCATGCTTTCCTCTCCTGTTGCACCGTGGAACGCCATGATACTGTGCGGAATGATGCCACATGATGCTGCATGATATGCCACATCATACCATGCCACGCCATGCCATGCCATGCCACGCCACACCACCCCACGCCATGCATGGCACCAGGTGTACGCAACAGATGCAGTGTTGGAGACTGGTCTGGACAGCTACACTGGCTACTACTGTGGAGTCGTGGCTCCCGGGTGAGTCCTCTCCTCCCCCTCCCTTCGCTTCTTTTCTTCGTTTCATCTCATTGAGATGCCTCGATGATCGTCTCACCTGGGTAGTGGCTGATCGTCTCAGCTGTTGACATCAAATCGAGCTACTACTGTGGACTCCACACTGTGGAGTGGTGGCTCCTGGATGAGTCCTGTCTGGACTGGAGTACTTCACTGGTGGAGACCTCCCCCTTCTCCAATCCCCCATCCCCCCTCCCCCTTCCCCTCCCCTCTCCCCACCCCCTACACACCACACCACACCACACAACTACCAGTGCGAGCCCGTCCGTGGTCTTCCCGCCCATCTTCTTTGATCTCCCGGAGGGGTCTTTTTCAGTCCCGTGGCAAAACTATATGTACTCTGTTGTGAGTATTTTGAGACGTCTCATACTTATCCGCCGCCCAACTAGTTGACTTTCAAAGCCTCTGCAATGTCTGTTAAAGCCTATAAATCATATCAAATATGCATGTCCTTAACCTGCTTCCCCTGGCTCCCGCTGTTCACCACCCACTTACCCACCCACCATTCACCCACCCAGCCTCCCTCCCTCCCTCCCTCTCTCCCTCCCACTCACCCACCAAACCAATCACGAACCACGCGTGTGCGTGTGCACCCACCCAGGCCAACGAGACCCACGAGATCCTCTGCCTGCTAGCGGAGTCACACCCGGACTGGGCCCCCCGCAATGTTTACCTGGGCAGTGAGTTCTCCTCTCTCACTCACTCCTTTGAATGGTCCTTGTATTGAATATAGGAGGGTCCTCCTCGCCCTTCCTTTTCCACACCTCTTTGTGACCTGGTTCAACCCCGCACACACACTATTTTTCTAGTAACAACCCTATTTCCCTCCCTGCTTCCACCACCACCACCACCACCACCACCACCACACCACCACCACCACCACCACCACCACCACCACCACCACCACCACCACCACCACCACCACCACCACCACCACCACCACCACCACCACCACCACCACCACCACCACCACCACCACCACCACCACCACCACCACCACCACCACCACCACCACCACCACCCATGGCACGTGATGGCACATCAGCGCCGTTCCTGGTGGACACGTACTGGAAGTTTGACCTCGACAAGAGCACCGTCTCCTTCATGCCTTACAACTGTGAGCTCCCTTGCACTGTCAGCACCCTTGCACTGTCAGCACCCTTGCACTGTCAGCACCCTTGCACTGTCAGCACCCTTGCACTGTCAGCACCCTTGCACTGTCAGCACCCTTGCACTGTCAGCACCCTTGCACTGTCAGCACCCTTGCACTGCCAACACCCTTGGGATCTCCCTTGTACCACCTGAGCACCCTTCCTTCCAGCTATCATCCTCACCCTCACCCTCCACTCTGTTGCACCTTTTGTCATCTATTGACCCTTCATCCCTCCACTCTTTCTCTCCCACTTTTCTCCCTCCCCATCCCCCTGTCATCCCCTTCCTCCACTGTCACAGGCTCGGCACTTGAAATCGCTCCCGCCCCTTCCTCCGCGCCTGTAGCACCCAATCCCCCTCTCACCGCCCCAACCACTCCCTCCTCCTCGCCCCCCATGCCCTCTCCAACCTCTCCAACCCCTGTCACTCCTTCTGGCACTACCCCTCCGGTCGCCACAACACTATCTGTTGCCTCGCCTCCGCCTCCCCCAAAGCCTGCTTCACGCATTGCCACAGCTCTCCCGGCTCTCCTCCTGGCTGCCCTCCTCGCAGCACTCTTGCTCTAGCCTGCTCGTGTTGCATCCTCTGCATGCTTGCACCAACATCTGCTCCATCTGTCTCCTGTGCTCTGCCCTCATCACTCCTAGCACCAGTATCTGCTCCGCTGCGCCTCCTCCTTGGCCGCGATGATATTTATTCAAATTTGGTGCATGCACTCCCAGGCTCCAGCCCAGATTGTACCAGATATGAGTATGAATCGTCGTGCTACGTTAGATTACTACTTCCTGTATCAAGAGTCCTTGTGTTCTCCTAGTGCTACATTACCTCTTCTGCTGACTCTTGCTGTGGCTGCTTCCTTCTCTGGCCTTCTCCCAACATGCAAGCAACCCTAACCCCTTACTTCGAAATCTTGAGGTAGGGCATGTATTGTTATTGGATGTTGATGAGAATGTGAGTGTAGGGAATGTACTAATAGATGCAGATAAGAGCGCTCTTGAAAATCTCCTGGATATTTCTTATCTAACTTGTGCTTTGCTTCATGCTCTGTCCATATACCAATTGCATACCCCAGCGAGTATTACCACAAGCGGGAAAATCTTCGACAGCAGATTGCCTTGTTCAAAAAATGTCCCGTTGCAGAGTCTGGTCTGGGCTGCACCGTGGCGCAATTTTGAAGCGCATTCGGGCTTTGGGCTGGGGCTCGGCTGGCTCCCCGCCTGCATACTCACCTGATTCCCGTCCCGCCCCCCCAACAGGGCAATCCCCGCTCGCCATCACCACAAGCCACGAGCCGCGCGTGAGGCAGGATTCTCTTCGACTGACCCTGCTGCAAGAGAGTCGACGAAATCGCGCGCATCGGCGGAAATCGTGTTTGTCTCAAAAGAATCGACCCAAATTGCTCCCCGCTCGCCACGTGGGCGTTTTTCTCAATTGATTCGACCCCCTTTCCCCCCGCCCCCCGAACCCGTTTTTCCCGCCCTTGCCCTCCGAAATTCGGGCACCCGCTAGAATCTCGTGAAATCACAAAACGTCACGAATACATGTTTTTTCGTAACGCTAAGATTTCAACATGCGAGCGACATCTGATTGGACAGAACACCTATGACTTCTAATGATAAATTTAGCAGTAATATGGATTTTATTAATTATGTGCCACTGCAGTAACATATTTTTTTAATCTTTGTAATACGAGTAAATTTTTTTTCTAAATAATATCAAGAAGTACAATCAAACAAAATATCTACCTATTTCAAAAGAGATTTATTTTTATTTGCCGTGGAGCTATTATTATTATAAATTTATGAAATTTAACTCTTAGTTTTTTAAGTTTTCTGGAATAAGCTTCATGTAGATATATAGAAAACATAAAGAAACTATAGGTTGATTCGTCATGTGTTTTTTTTTTGCGCCCTTATCTACATTATTGGCATGGGCTAATCCAAAAAAAATACGATACAATCAACGTGCATACGAGCCTCCTGAGATTGAGAAGCAACCGCCGAAATTATTGATTGCGAAAGCTGATGTGGCATGCCACAACTACATGGTGGATTTGGCATGATGTAAAAAGGATGTATTCGTGACTTTTTGTGATTTCACGAAATTCCAGCGGGTGCCCGAATTTCGGAGGGCAAGGGCGGGAAAAACGGGGTGGGGGGGCGGGGGGAAAGGGGGTCGAATCAATTGAGAAAAACGCCCACGTGGCGAGCGGGGAGCAATTTGGGTCGATTCTTTTTTAGACAAACACGATTTCCGCCGATGCGCGCGATTTCGCCAAGAGAGTCACTGCTCGCAACCCCCTTTCAGGGCAGACCGCGTCGCGACTTAGGAAATTGATCGTGGCGCCAAGCCAAAGCCAACGGCAACCGTAAGATATTCTCCCCCCTCATCTCGTGTGATCTCGTCCGCTCATCCAACCCACTAAATTTCAAATTCTTCACTGACGGCTCTTGCTGGTCGGTTGGCTGTTTGGGGCAGGGCTATGCTTTGTCCCTCTTGCTCAGCAGCAAGCCTCGCTCGCCCTCCACATCCCATGACGCCTCTCGCAATTCGCTGTCTGTCGACTTTCTTCACCGTCCGTCCGCCAATTCCGGTCGCGGTCATTAAGCTCAGCGGCATTGTAAAGCCAGAAATTGGAGACTGCTGTGTGACATCGAAGCCACTCGTGAGCCGCAGTTGGCCTTCTTAGGAAGTTCAGGGAAGCTAGGGTGTTCAGTTCCACATCATTTCTCGCTCTTGTAACCGATTTTTTTTCTCGCCAATTCGCACAGGTCGGTCGAGCTCCGACGCCGAGTAATATTAGTTAGCTCGCTAGCGCAATTGTATGATTGTGCTGAGTGTGCGGTGAACAGCATAATTTCAACCCTCAGATTCACTTCGGTATCCTTCAATCAGGCACCTGAAAGGTCATTCAGTGCTTTCCAGCCTAGCAACCAAAATCGGTTTACGCTCGCCACTCCCGCACACTTCCTAGTTACGTAGCAGATACAAGGCCCTAGTCCGTGGGATACGACCTTCAGTAAACGCTCAACTTCTCATCAGCCGTTACCATGGCGCTTCAATCAATGGTCATGGCAAAAAGTAGACCTCGGCTTTCATCATTCCGTGTAAGGCCGTTCCTGATGAGGAAGTGTCATCTAAACCTACTACTGGCTGCCGCTGCTCTCCTTATCAGCCTCGTACCCCCAGCTGACGCTCACGCGAGACTTCTCAAGGTTTGTCACTCGCCCTGCCGGTGTCCTCGTTCCACGCTCCGCATTTGACCCGAACCAAACCCAGAATTTCCCATCCGATCACTCCGGTTACGTTGCGGGTGCGCGCCACCGTCATTCTCAAACAACCGGTGCTATTTGGAAGGTGCAATCACCTTCCCCAGTGGCCGCGCCCTGCCCGCCATGCTGCCAGCTTCACTGCCTGCTTCACCGCTCCATTTCCCTACGACCACTACCGTCACTCTAGCTTCCGTTTGAGCCGACAGGTTCTGAGGCGATTTTTGAGGCGCCTAAAAAAAGACAGCCTTCAGACGTGCTCTTTGCATAGAATACCTCGGAACGGGTATTCCCGAGGTAGCTGCAGGATGTCTTCCTGTCAGATACACCCCCCTTACACGGCGTTATCTGGTGTCTCTACGACTAAATTCATGCACATCCCCACCCCTGGTTTCCATTAGCCTCACGAGCCAAACCCGCTGCGCTGCGTCTCCGATCCACGACCCACGCACGGTCCTTAACCCCGTTCACCACTCGCCGCGCCTGCCGCTCCTCCACTCTAATCGATGCTACTCTCTACTCTGCTCTGCTCTGCTCGTTCTCTCTCCCGCAGGATGCGTCGCGATTGGACAGCGGCCGCAGGGAGATGCGGCGGTTGAGCGAGTCGGAGCGGTTGAGAATGGCGAGAAGGGGCACTCTTGAGGAGCACTGGAACCTTGCGCGCACCGGGGCCAGCGGCGCCGCTGCTGTCGCCGCTACTGCTGCTTCCTCGTCGTCGTCTGCGTCACCCAGCGAGCTAACACATCAGGTAGAGCTCGTACGGGAGAGGCGGAAGAGGAGGAAGAGGAGGGAAAGGAGCAGCCTGCGAGGTTCTGAAGAAAAGCCTCTATTTCTCTCTCTCTCTCGCTCGCTCGCTCTCTCTCTCACGCTCTATCTCTCGCCCTCTCTCATTCTGTGGATACGGTTTTCCAAGTCCGTGGCCAACGGCACCCCTTATTCCTGTCTGGTTTCGCATCGTACAAAGCCCACGCTTTTCCCGTTCTCCACTCTGCTTTGTGTGCTAACCGTGACCGCAAACGACCCGGCTCCCCGTCTCTCTGCTTGTGAGACGTCTCGAAGCGCGCCGAATCTGTTCTGAGTTCTTCCTCGTACCTGGCCTCGCGCCATTGAGAATTCTCAAAAGCAACGTCACCATAGCTCGTCTCTCTGATTACCATGAGTCGACTCGAAGCTCGCCGAATCTCTTTTCTGAGTTCTTCTTCGTACCTGTCCTCGCGCTATTCTGCTCTCTCCGCACTCCCCAGGGCCGACTGTTGGCGGAGGCGGCAGCGGGAGGAACAGCTGTCCTGCGCCTCTCCTCGCCATACGTCTA